CCCATAAAAGGGTCTATGGCCCATAAAAGGTTGCTATGGAAAAAAATTATAAAATACAAATGACTTGGACAGAAAAACTAACAATTGTTTATGATATCAATCATTTGTTAATGTCATTCTTCAGCTGGATCTGTCTTCTTAATTTTTTAAAAAAATATTTTATTTATTTTTTATGGGTATATTGCATGCATGCATGTAAGTGCACCCGTGTCATACAATGCCTGTAGAGGACAGAAGAAGTGGAGTTACAGACGGTTGTTAGCTGCCATGTGGTTGCCGGGATTCAAACCCAGGTCTTCTGTAAGAACAGCCAGTGCTCTTAACTGCTGAGCCATCTCTCCAGCTCAGTGTCTTCTTAATTTGACAGCCATTTGATATATATTTCACAAGTCCATGTCAGATTACTTTTTTTTTTATCTTGAATACACTTTATTTTGTGTTATTCCATAATGGATCTGTTTGTTTGTTTGTTTGTTTTTCCTTAATGAAGGATACTTTTTCTCACAACAAATGTGATGTGTTTCTTCCCTTAGAAAATATTGGTCTCTTTAAATTTCAATGTAGGTTTCACAGAAATCAATAAAAGGCAAATGTTACAATATATATATGCCAACCTGACAGTTTTGTCCATTTACATGTTAAACATAATTGTTTAATATCATAGTGTGCATGAACTGGAGTTTTAAAAAATATTTGTTATTTTTATTTTATATGTATGAGTGTATTGTCTGCATTCATGTAAGTGCACCCATGTCATACAATGCCCACAGAGGTTAGAAGAGGGCATCAGATCCCGTGCAACTGTAGTTATGGATAGTTGTTAGCCACCATGTGGGACCCAGGTCTTCCACAAGAGCAGATAGTACTCTTAACTGCTGAGCAATATTTAATCCCTAAAATCTAAACAATAAGTTTTATATTGTATACAGTATTCTAAAGAATACATACCATCTGCTTATTATATTTGTTTTACATATAACTACCATGACTATATTGGTTTGCTAAATCCCTTTAATTTCATCAGCTTGCATTGGTGAGAAATTGGTCTGATGCCAAATTTTTGTATAGGTTCATAAAGTCTTTTGTTATCCTACAGTTTATTCTTTTAGGATGATCAAGTTGAAATAACTGATATAGCAGGGTATCCAAATTATATTGCATGAAAATTGCAAAAATTCATTTAACAAAATATAAAGGATATATATTAATTTCAGGCAATTTCCTATTCAGTGTATTTGCACGTACACAAGAGAGTGAATATGAATTAAATGAATGAGAATAAGAAAATAGGTATACTTTATAAAATTTAATACCACAACTTGGTACCACATCATCTGTAGTAATTAATCAAATAAAACCCCAAAGGTATTTGCAGTTGAACAGGATACAAATTTTTTCAGGAAACAATTTGGACTCAGCATTAGAAAACAGAAGCAGTACAGCAGCACAGTTCCTTCAGATTTGTGAGAGCATTAACACAAATAAAGTACTTAAGCAAAAAATCAAGAAGAGGAGAAGAGGAGAAACAAGGCAGTGGCAAACAGGTAAGATTTTTTTGAGACATGCAATTTTTTGTAATTCAAGGAGAAAAATCAGCCATTTAGAAGCTCATTGCACTCCCCATGAAATTGTTTCCATTTTATATTGATAATTATATATATTAAGATTTTTTCCATATGTATTCGTGTGTCTGTGTGTATGCCATGTGTGTGGGGGTGGGGGCGCTTGTGGTGGATAGAAGAGGGCATTGGATCCCATGGAGCTGGAGTCACAGGAGTTTGTGAGCTTCCCAATGTGGGTACTGGGAACAACACTCTGGTCCTCAGCAAGATCAGCAGGTGCTCTTAACTCCTGAGCCAGTTCTCCAGCCCCACTATTTTTAATTGTATCTGTCTGGTACTTAATAAAACTGTTCTTATTTTCTCCTTATTCAAAAGATATTTTTAAGGAGAACTTTCAAATGAGTTTAATTTATAAAGGCACACGATTCTTTTTAGTTCATGTGACAGCAAATTCTGTAGTAGGAATCACTCATTACTCATTACTCGCAAAAGGAGTTTACTACAGACTTTGTAATGTGAGGGCTTTTTATATTTTTTGAGGATTTCATACATTAGTTATCTTACAAAATTTTATTCAATGAGTATTGTTTTCACTTAGTGAGTTTCAGAAAGTTTTTGGCAACTTTGTTATAAAGTCTTCTTAAATAGTCTGATCAAATGTCACAATTTCCTTTATTTTTTCAATCTAGCTGTTATAATAGGTCCTGATGGACAGCCTCTGACAGTATACCCTTGCCATATTTGCACAAAAAAGTTTAAATCCAGAGGATTCTTAAAAAGACACATGAAGAATCATCCTGATCATCTGATGAGGAAAAAATACCAGTGTACAGATTGTGACTTTACGACTAACAAGAAAGTGAGTTTCCATAACCACTTAGAAAGCCATAAGCTTATAAACAAAGTTGACAAAACCCATGAATTTACGGAATACACTAGAAGATATAGAGAGGCTAGTCCACTGAGTTCAAATAAACTTATCTTAAGGGACAAGGAGCCTAAGATGCACAAGTGCAAATACTGTGATTATGAAACTGCAGAACAAGGACTGTTGAACAGACATTTGCTGGCTGTTCACAGCAAGAATTTTCCTCATGTTTGTGTTGAGTGTGGAAAGGGTTTTCGACATCCTTCTGAACTCAAGAAACACATGAGAACCCACACTGGTGAGAAGCCATATCAGTGTCAGTATTGTGTCTTCAGGTGTGCAGATCAATCAAATCTGAAAACTCACATTAAGTCTAAGCATGGTAGCAACTTGCCATATAAATGTGAGCATTGTCCACAAGCATTTAGTGATGAGAGAGAGCTTCAGCGCCATCTGGATTTGTTTCAAGGACATAAAACACACCAGTGTCCTCATTGTGACCATAAGAGCACCAATTCAAGTGACCTTAAGCGCCACATCATATCTGTCCATACCAAGGATTTTCCTCACAAATGTGAAGTCTGTGATAAAGGTTTCCATCGTCCTTCAGAGCTCAAAAAGCATAGTGATATTCATAAGGGTAGGAAGATTCATCAGTGTAGGCACTGTGACTTTAAAACATCAGATCCATTTATTCTTAGCGGTCATATCCTTTCAGTTCATACTAAGGATCAGTCATTGAAATGTAAAAGGTGCAAGAGAGGGTTCAGACAACAGAATGAGCTCAAAAAGCACATGAAGACACATACTGGACGGAAGATTTACCAATGTGAATATTGTGAATACAGCACTACAGATGCATCTGGCTTTAAACGACATGTAATTTCAATACATACGAAAGACTATCCACACAGGTGTGAATTCTGCAAGAAGGGATTCCGAAGACCATCAGAAAAAAATCAGCATATAATGAGGCACCACAAGGAGGCGCTTATGTAGTAAGATCAATATAAAGAAGTTGTTTATACAATAAGATATGCTATTTGGAAGAAATTCTGTCTTTTCTGATTTCAAAGCTTGTTATTAAACCATAACTTTACATTCTTTGTATTAAAGATCTTAAAATATTTGAATTAAGAGGGGAATCTCATAGCCCTTTAAAAATCACTTAAAGAATTTAAGAAGCACCATAGTATGGTTGCAGAAAAGCTTGTGTGTATTTAACAGTATTCTACACATAACTAAACTACAGAGGGGGAAAGTAAAGACACATTATTTGGTTGATCACACTAGAGATGTTTCTGAAAAGAGAATACATAACTGATTTGAGAAGTGCTTTGCTATAGCAAGCAAACCTCACTTTTATGCAATTTTAGAAGTGGGGCAGGGAAATAAAATGCAGTCACCCATCAGTCACTAAATCATTGAGCCTTTTATATTGTACTTGGACATTGGATTCCAGAAATGGCAAATGTTTTGTGTATTCATGAAAAGGAATCTCACTGAAAAACTAGTTACACTAATACAGCACTATTGAAAAAGAATTTCAGAGGTTTTGCTATTTTAATCACAGGATAGGATGTTTAAAGCATTCTGAGCTGAAATCTGAGGTGAAATCTAAGAAACAAAGTTCCATTTTTGATGTTCAAGTAGATTCATTATGACATATAAAAGTATATTTGAGCCAAATATGGCTTTCTAAAATGGATGCAACTATAATGTTGCAAACAAAAAATCAGCACTATGTTTCTTAATGATCTAAATGTTAGATTGAGAGAACACAGTTTTCTTAAATATTATAATGTCTAGAATTTTTAGGGCAGTCTTAGTAAGTACGACTATTCTAGTCTTACTTTCTCTAATGTTTAAAGGTGCAATTTTATGCCATTATTGAAAATTTTGATTTTTAAAAATCTATATACCATATTCTTGACACGAATTTTCAATGAGGCAGTATTTATGCAGTATTTAACAGAACAATGTGCTGCCAATACAGTTTGGAGGTGGATATTCAGTTTACAGTGTATAAATTTAAAATATGCATCCCTTTAACAACGCTTTTGTGTTAGCATGCTGCAAATCAAAATGGCGCTTAATATTAAAAGCTGGTTTAGGGAAATTTAATGAAAATCCTGTTCATAAATGTAATGCATATGATGTGTACTTTTAAGTTTTAGTTAGCTTAATTTAGTTTCTATTCAGCTGTTCAACATAACTAAAATGTAATTTTCCTTCATGCTATAATGTGGCTTTGTGTTTTAAGTAATCTTCACCTTTCTGTTTTTGCACCAGATAAGAGTTGGTTACTTGAAAATAAATTTTTTATCTTTCTTAACATCAGAATATTAAATTTGGAAAATCTACTAAAATTGTGTGTTATGTGGCTGTAAATGATGTACACGCTGTAAAATAAGATTGTCACTGTTATGTGGACTTATTATTTCTAAATGTTACTCATTGAAATGAGAATACAATAAAAAGCATTTATTGCACTTCAAGGTTTTATAAGTTTACTTAAAATTGTGTTGTAATGTGCATTCCTCATTAAAAGACTTTTCACTTAAAATTTCTTAAAGGAAGTTTGGTCCTTTTTTACCATCTTGCTGAACATTGTGCTTTAACTATGATGCAAGTTAGGAATTTAAACAGTTACAAAGATTATGGCTTGTTCATTTCTAAGAATATGTGTTACCCAAAACCATGATAAAATGTTGCAAATAAAAGCACTCAGTTTAAGACCCATATTGACTATTATAAAAAAAACCCAAAAATTCTTAACTTGTTTACCCAGTAAAGTTCAGATAAATGAATACATCTAGTTGTTTTACCAATATACATAACAAAAGGTAAAGTATTGAGTCAATCATATGGGAAAGCGATCTGAATGTAAGCATAAAAATAATTTGCTATGCTCCAACTATCATTTAACAAGATTCATATTGACATATATGGTAGCACCATTAGTTAAACCTGCCGAGTGATTATTCTTTAAAATTCATTAGCAGAAAAGAAATTGACCATGTATTATACTAGTGCGCCTCAAATTTAATGATTAAGTTGGATTTGTACAACTCTCATTTTAAAATGGCCTGTGACATGACACAAAGTATCAGGAATTTTTATCCACATAGGGCTCTTAAAGTTGACTCATGACTCATTCAGGACAAACACCAAGTTCAGCCTTGAACTGTCCTTAATGGTTGTGTATATATACAAATTCAGGAATAAAATTAGACTCTGTAGCCATCACTAATCTTCAGCAGTCATCATTTCTTACCACAAAGCTTGTTTCATTTATATTCTTCATTAAATAATGAATTATTTCATGCCTCCACACCTCATTTGTTTAGTTTGAAGTAAATCTCAAATATCTTTTAAAAATTTTGGTAGCTGCAGAAAATAGTTCATCTATGAAGGGAGTGGGACAAAAGAATTTTAGGTGGCCAAGCCTGGGACTATCCACTAAGGTTTTGGAATTTTTGCATTAAGTCTTCTTATGGAAGAACAAGAGTGTTCAGGACTGGATCATATTCCTAGAATATCATTAGGGCTACAGACAGTTATTTCTCAACCTTATGTAGATCCATTCTACCCTTCTAAAAGCAGGAGCTTGTACATTTAGAACTGGTTTAGAGAGACTGCTTACCACATCAGATCCTAGATAGTTATTGTTATGACCAGTACGTCTTTGTATTTGAACATCTTCAAAGTTATACTACAAAGAGAATTTTATTTCATTTTAAAATCTTAACCAATTGTTGATATTGATACTACCCTAGATATCCCTTAATGTAAGTCTTAGTAAACTCCCATCTGTTTTACAAATCCTGTCACTATAAACAGTTACTTCCCATAGCATGATTGGCCCATCACACACCTTTGCACCTTTAGGGAACCATAAAAAATGTAGATATTCTCTCATTTTAAGAAATTGATCTTGGGAGCTGGAGACATGGCTCAGCGGTTAGGAACAATGGCTGTTCTTGCAGAAAACCGAGGTTCAAATCTCAGCACCCACATGGCTGCTAACAACTCTCCGCAACTCCAGTTCTAGGGGATCTGACAGCCTCTTCTGTCCTCCGCAGACACTGCACGACACGGGTGCACCTACCTACATGCAAGCAATATACTCATACACAATAATGAATAAAATACTTTCTAAAAATTGATCTTATTTGTTGGGTCCTGGTCCATACAAACTGGAAATATTCAGAACTGATTATGTCAGCGAAGTATAGAGTTAAAGTATTATATTCAAAGGTTGTCCCTTAAAGAATCTCTGTAAAATATACTTCAATAACAGAACATTATTTTAGTATGCTGGGATGGGAAACCAAAGTTAAAAACCACATTCTTAATAAGATCAATGAAAAAAATACCAAGACTATCATAAATTAATACTGGCTTTCACGAAATTATATTGTATCAAAAATTTTATTCCATTGTAGACTTTAAAAAATTATGTCTTGTTCTGAAGTAAATATTGTTAAATACGTCATTGAGGAAAGTTGTATTTATTCATTACTGAGGTTTAGTATTCCTGAGTAAGCACAAAATAGTACTTTTCAATTGAACAAAAGGTACCATAAAGCCAGACATGGTGGCACACTCTTTTAAACCCAGCACTCGGGATGCAAGGACAGGTTGATCTCTGTGACTTTGAGGCTAGCTGGGGCTACAAGGAGACCCTGTCTCAAAAATAACAAAAAAATAAGTACTGTAAAATCAGTCTTGTAATGGCATGGAGTGGAAAAGATTATCCATTTGAGGAAATCACTAAAATATTTACTTTCAAAATGATTTTTATTGATCAGAGAAACATCTTTATAAATTACAATAATGAGAAAGAAGTGCAAAGTTGGATTTTTGTTGATTTGATGTAAATTCAGTAGTTAGTTGATTTTAAAGATCTGTTCTTTTTGTATTTATCTTTGAAAAAGTAGTACGACTAAAGCACCAGTAGAGAAATGGGAAGAAAATGTTTGAGGGAATCATGTTTGATCTAACTTGAAGCAGAAACCTACATCTTGCATCAACTGGAAGTCAAATTTTTGTTAAAAGCCCCATAATTAGTACATTATGTCAGGAAGTTTTTTGGGTTTTATGTGTTTGCTTTAGAGTATTGCTTCTTAGCTCTTATATAAGTATGCACTAAGCTAAAATTCTTCCTGTGTATTTTCAATCTGAACTTCCACAAAGACCATATAGATGCTTAACATATTTTATTTAGACATATAAAAAAATTTCTTTGCATGCCAATCTCCACTCTCCATTTTATTTGAGACAAATCCAAATTGAAAACATCCTGAAATAGAAACCGGCATCCCTCACGTGACATCGCTGCTCTATTCATCAAGAAACTGCATGAAATTTGTGAGAGGAAAAGACAACACTGTTTCTATTTCTATTGATCTTACAAATTGGAAGCAAAATAAAGTTTCAAATACAGAGAACATTGCTCCCTACCGTTAAATTTTGCATCCTCATTTTATTTTTTAAAATATTTTATCATTTTTATTTTTATGAGTATGAGTGTATTGCCTGCATGTATGTAAGCACACCCATGCCGTGCAATGCCCACAGAAGTCAGAAGAGTGCTTCAGCACCCTATGGGTACTGGGATTCAATCCTGGGTCCTCTGCAAGATCAGTCAATGCTCTTAACTGCCGATCCATCTCTCCAATCCCGTTTGTATCAGCATTTTTAAAATTTAAGTTTAATGAGAAACTTTTATATGCCTCCAATTCACTATTCAAGAATCAAATGCACTGTCTTAATTGCCCTCTGATTTTGGATACTTTTATTTAAACTTCCCTTTAATATTTGCATCAGATGGGTAACAATACACTTTTGCTACAGCTACATATAGGAGTAGTTAGGAGAAGAAAAGCTGCTCTCTTGTTCTTATAACAGAGGGAACTTGTAAGAATATGAAGCACATTAATATTTTACATATCAAAGTAGATTTTATTCATGTTTGCAACTTTTTGTTTAGCCCAAGTGTTATGAGACTATAAATAAGTCTTTAATTTCATATCAGGACCTATTTGAATATTTGTCATTTATAATTTCACTTAGGATAGTGTCTCATCCATGTGCAACAGTTTCTTAGTATAGTGAATAATTATTAGAATATGCTTATAAAACATTGAAGAATTTCATAAAGATTTTTGTAGGTATTTTAGTACAAAACTCTATTGGTATGTACCATGAATATATTTATTGCATTAATCTTTAACAGTTTTTAGTACCTCTTAACTAGTCAGATGAAATTGCATTATTGTATTATGATTAACAAATACCTGTGCTCACTTTGGAAATTCATTAAACTTCAACGACCTAACCAATTTCTAAATAGATGAAAGACTCTGCTATAACACATTCTCCTACATAAGGTACAGCTATCCAAGTATATGTTATTGCTATTTGTACTATCTAAGCCTTTATGTCTATGCAATATTTCATTGTTATGTTTGTATACCACTATGAAAAAGTCTACATTCTCATTGACCCACTACTGCAATACAGTATCATATTTTTAAGGAAGTGAATGGGCTCACTTGCAGAGGATATGCTTTGAATGAACAGATTTGTGTATGTACTGATATGTAATTAGAGCCAAGTTGCATAATGTACAGTTTAATGAATGTAGTTATTTAAGAAGATATCCCATGTCCTTGATTAATGAAATTAACTACCACCATTCATTTAGCTGTTTCCAAAGGCATTTACTTAGCACTACCAAACTATCTCTTACAGTCACAAGCTTAATGTGAAAGAAGTGAATTTAGGCTGTATAATTCATGTTAAAGTTAAACTACTTTTAAGCTGCCCTTTGCCTCAGCTGTGCAAGAAAACAGCATGAAATCTTATAGATAAATTGCACATTTAACATGACAGAACGTCTTTTAATAGAATAACTTGTAAAGATTCTATCCCTGTAAATTAATTCAGTATATAGGAAACACTCTATATGAAAAAGAGTGGGTTAAGTTCTACACTGTCTGCAACCACAGTTTAAAGAAAGTTTGCTTGTTTTTTCCCTTTGCGTGTTGTTTTATCAAATACATCAGTGTTATAAAAAGTATTAAGGTCTCCTGAATGGCTTGAGAAACTCATGTGCAGAATTAAATCACTCATTAGACTCATGTGGTAGTACCATGGTTCACAATTTTGATTGACCTTTGGCAACAGAAAAATGACAAAATGTTGATGCAGACTCGGAAAATCTCCTTTGAGGTGAAGTACTGTAAAATGGATCTATTCATGGCTAGAAAAGAAAAAAAAAGTATCTTAAAACCGGTTCACAATTAACTTAAGACACTATTATTCCAAGACATAGTTATTAAGATTATTCATTTGGCTATGTATAAGGACAAAGGAAATGTATTACACTTTTGTGATACTCTTTTATATAGAACTTAATAAAACGATGACCTTTCTGACTTTAGTCAAGGCATGTATTTCAAATGATTATATGCAGGAAGGAAGATTGAGCAGATTTACTCCTTAGTGTCAAATGTAGAGGCTAATTACATGCTCAAATATGTCTGTTAATAAATACTTATCATCTGTGAACTTAAACATATTTGGAACCACTACCTGTATCTGTAGCCCTTCAGAACTTAACTATGTATTTCAATGGAGAGAGAAGAAGTGGTTATTATATTAGACCCTTCATTTCACAGGCTCTCATTCTGTTTTCATATCTGAGAGGAATGTGATTAGCAGAAACAGTTTCTGTGTCTTTAATTATTATTTGAAAATGTCATACAATGTCTTTTGATAATATTCTCCCCTCCTCCAACTCCACCACTCAGATCTATCTCCACCTCCCACTCACCTTCATATTTTTTTTCTAAACCCATTTAATCCAATTTCTGTTGTCCAAATACTCTTTGAGTGTGGAACTAGCAGCTCTGGAACGTGGTCTGCCTGCCAAGGGCCAAACCCTTAAAGGAAACTGAGTCTTCCTCTCCCAACACTAGCATATGTCAATAGCTCCGTAATTGTATCTTAATATTGAGCTTCAAATTTCCTAAGTGGCAGATTTTATCTCCTATGTAGACCTTTCACTACTCATCTAGTTCTTGAGTTATCAGGTACTCTTTATCATTTGATCATTAGTAGTAATTAATATTCAACTAATGACAAGAAAAACAATTTTGAAAGATTACACTATGCATGCATTTATTTGTTTGACATTTACTAAATATTGCTTGTTTCCACTGATGATTTATAAGATTGGTGCCTTGCTTATTGTGCTTATTATTCTATAGAGTTTTAGATCTAAAATCTTCATGATTTTTTGTTAGTATTTCAGCTTCCTTGGCTATAAGATATTTTTAAAATATGAGTCATTTAACCGATGTTTATTTATATTAACTACATAAGTGTAATTTCTAAGATTTTTTTCAAAAGTTTCTGCTGAATATTTGATTGTCATTTGTATGTTTATTGCTTGCCATCGTATACTTACCAAAGTATAATAAACATGTAAAAAATACATATTTCATAAGCATTCAGTTTTTAAGCTGAACATATATGCAAAACCATCCATCTCAGGAAACAAAACATGATTAGTAATCCAAATGCCTTTCTTATGCTCCCTTGCTATCAGTCTCCAACCTTTCCAGGGTAACCAATCTTGACTTTACAAACTGTAGACTCCTTTAGCCCATTTTTAGTATATAAGCCATATGGAAGTTGGAGGATTTTAACATAACATTGAAATGGTACTTTCCACAATGTTTTGAATAAGGTCATGGGTGTTTCAAGAGCTGAGATTCTAAAACTATTCTGTCTATTGTAGCTGATTCATATTACACATTCCTGTGCTCATGATCGATGAATTATTATCAGAATGTCCTGTAAGAGTTTAGAAGTCAAGGGTGGTTATGAAAGTGAGACTCACCCCTCATATATTCCTTCCTTTGTCTGTCTGTCTCTCTACCATCTGCTTGTTTTGCCACCATGTTATGGTGCAGCAAAAGGCCCTTGCCAAATGGCAGTACTCTACTACTGGATCTTTTGGCCTACAAAACCATAAGCCAAATAAATTTCTTTATTAAAAAAAAGTGTAGAAAGAAACTCAATAGTGCTTTGTTTTGTTAGCAAGGTTTCTCAAGCCCAGCAGCATTAACATTAGGGACTGAATTATTCTTTCTGTGAAGGAATGTTCTGCATAATGTAGGATGTATGGCAGCACCTTTGTCTACACCCAATAGATGTCAATAAACCTAACCTAGTGAAAACCAAAAATGTCTCCAGGACATCAGTTAATGTTCTGCGGGGTGGAAGGTTGTTGCCGCTGGAAAGAATTAGTATATTAGGGAATATATGTTTCCTCTTTCATGATTACTAACATCAAACTAAACATTAAAAAGCCAATCATTAAAGTTTGCAGCTGACACTCACTTATAAGAGGTGAGTTTTAGTAATCATCCTATAGTAAAGAACTGAATTACTTAGAAAGATGCTGATAGCTATGATTTGTGGTCATGTTGAGTAAGGTGTAGAAAGTAGATTAATAGAGTATATGACATTTAAATGGTTATTCAGCCTCACTTAAAATATCTTACAATCTAGGAAAAATAAGCATAAATCATTTCCTTAAAAATTTAAAGAAATAGATGCTAAAAGATGTCCATATTCAAAATTGCAAGATAAATTCTATTGATATATGCCTCCACTGACTCCCTTTCAATTGCCTATGACATTTCTGATATTTTACCTAAGTTTTTGAAAGCTGAGACAATATAACCAAAATAGAGCTAGAAAAGCTAGAAAAGCTAGAAACTTACACAAGTCCATTTGTCTTCGGTTTTCTCAATCACAATAGTCTGTGTATCACTACCTGGTGGTATATATTCATAGTCATCATACAGAAGGCCAAGGATTGGATATTGTGTCCTGTACCTATGCATCAAAAAAGAGTTACAGACAGCATGAAATCATAACTTACACTTTTAGTTGCTTCTATTTCTATTCCCCTGATTAAATCAATTTATCTCTGAATGCCCTTTAATGGTTTCAAATAAAATGTCTTCTCAGTCATCAAAGACTAATTATCATCATTTTTAATTAAATAAAGGGGAAGGAACTTCTGCCTCTGACTGTGATAGATCACTGAAAGCAAAGGACAATGATCCACAGAAGAGATAAAAATAAAATAAGCACCAAAAGTGCCTAGCTCATTGCTTGAAATTTTTCTTAGTTACAGGAAAGGGAAAGGAAAATTATATAGATACTAAAAATCTTATCAAACTACAGTGACACAGTAATGTATGTTACATCCAGCCATATGTTGTGGATCAGACAGGAGAGCTACAAAGATGGAGAGGGTTACAGCTTTCCTTATAACGAGTATTTATCAATGTATGTATGTGAAGAAGCTTTCAAGGTCAGCAAAATACTAGTGGAACAAAACATGCTAGCAATCTCTAAAGCTTACATAAGGATAGTAACTTTTCACACCATTTGCCAGAGTGGAAAGGACATTTTATACAGTGAGCATCCTTTAGTAAATACAGACAACTACTGTTTTAGAAGTAGGATAAAATCAAACATAGAACACAATTGTTCTAACAGTTCAAGAAGCACAATTTGAATTCAATGAACTTTTCCCATCTGTTTTAACTTTATCTCAGAACAAAACCTGCAAATATTTTAATACCAAAAATACAGAGTTTGATAATATAAAATAATAATATATGACACTGAACCAAAAATCATAGTCATGTAATGAAATGGGTAGATATGACTAATAATGAAGAGAAAAATAAATTAGTAGGTAAACCAGTACAATCGTGTAGAAAAACGTGTATTAGAAATATCCAGCATAGACAATATGTACTCAGAAAGAGAAAAGCATGAACACAATGAGAAAAGAGAGTCTGTAAAAAAAAAAAACAAAAAACATTAGACTTCTAAAAATGAATAATACATTGAATGGGACTAACAGCAGATAAGCCACTAAAGAAGAAAAGACTAATTAATTTGAAGGCATCAATAGAAATCATACAAAATAAAATATGTGAAAAATACTGAAAAAGTGAACACAGCATGCTATTCACAGAAAATGTCAATTCCATAATTGAAGAAATAACAAAATTGATGAGACACTAAAGCATACAGACTGAAGAAGTTCAGTTAGCGTCAAGGAAAAGATACATGTGAAAAACCACAGAGGCACTTCATTATCAGGGTGTTAGAACCCAATGATAGAGCATCTGAAAAGGACCCAGATAAAAGAGAACACAAACAAAAGAAGGATGCCACAAGATTAACACAATATTTCTCGTAAGGCACAATAAAAAACTGTACAGGATGACATCTTTAATATACTTAAAAAATAAACCTGTCAGCTTGAGAAAAACAGATAAAAGCAGTAATCCACCCCTCCCCCGATTATTGAAAGTTCCAGTTACTGCATAAAAGATACTTTCCACAATATTAAATGGAAAATTCCAACAGTAAGTAATTTTTTAAATAGTAAACATTGCCCCATTATGAGTGGAATAATTAAATCTTGCCCTGTTCTACTCTTCTGGTTGTGAATTATTCCTGTATTTAATGTATTCATGTTTCACTCACTGGTAACTTAGCCTTCTCTATTATCAGATCAACTGTATCAGATCATATCGCACATAACTATTTTACGTGTCCTAAAACATAAGATTACTGGTGCTGAAAATTCAGATATATACTTCCTTTAAATGAACAGGTGAAAGCTACCCACTTAATGAGGAAGAAAAAAAATCCTACACTGATGTTGTTAAGATCTATGATAATAGCAAGTAGGAAAAAACATAGTTTACATAAACATTTATATTATTCCAGGTTTCAGAAATGCAGTGTGATTACTGGAGCATATATCGCTCACATAAATGGCTAATAGTCTACATTTGAATAATGAGGGCAAGATAAAGTTTTCCTTCAGCCTTTAAAAAGCCAAGAGAAGCGTCCACTAGAAGAGCAGCACAAAAATGTGAAAGTAAGGTAAACACTGGGACCAAGAAATAGAATTAATAGAATCAGAAAAGACAATTATGTGAGTAAATTTAAAATTACTTTTGCTATTCTTTATAAGTATTTAAAAGGCATTTGAATCTTGGAAATAAAAGGTTATTTCATGATATATGTAAGAGAAAGCACATATGGTTACAAAAGAAAAACAATACATAAAGAGGAAGTAGAAATATCTTCTGCTATATGTTGATGGGTATAATATTGTTTGAAGATAGATTGAAGTTAAGGAATGCTTTAATCTCTGCAGTAATCATAAAGAGAAACATATATATACATATATATATACATGTATATATGCAGCTAATGGTATAGATAAAATATCATGAACAATCTTAAGAATAAAAAAAGGAAGTGGAAAAGAGGATAAGGAAAATGTGGAATGGAAAACATCTAAGAAGATGCTAAATTTCAGCCCCAAATTGTAGATAATCATTCAAAATTGGTTCAAAAATACCGTTTAATGTCAGATTGTTAAACTGAATAAAGAATCGACTGGTTATGCTATTTAAAAAGCAAGCAAACAAAACAAATATCCTAAAAATTAAAAAAAAACTTGTAGAACAAATTGATAAGAATGTATATGTCATGCAAACTCTCCTGTAATTTAGATGAGTTTCTGTGAAAAGTTCATGTACTAAAACTTTGGTTGCCAGTCTGTGGCACTCTTGAGATGGGATCTAGTCTAGTGGAAGGACGTCAGGTCATTTGGAATGTACCCTAGAAGATGTTAGGACCCTGGTCTGTCCTTCTTTGCTTCTTGACTGCCATGAGACAAACAACTTCCTCTGCCATGTGGTCACTGCCGTGATGTTCTGTTTCAACATTAGCCTAAAACCACTGGGTGCCGAGGTGTGAATGCGGAGATTAGAGGACAACTGCAGTAGCTGTTTCTCTCTTCCCACCACTAAGGTCCTGGGGTTTGAACTCATATCTTCAAGCTTGGGAGCAAATGCCTTTACTTACTGAGCCATCTCCCCAGGCCCTCTGGATATTATTTTAAATGTTCTGTTTTCAATAAAAATTACGGCACATGCAAAAAATGAAGTATCACATGTACCCGGGGAAAAACTAAAATTATCCATTGAATAGCCCAGTTGTTGCACTTACAATCCTTTAAATTAGCTATTTGGACTATTTTCAAGGAACTAAATAAAAATATCCTTAAAAAATTAAAGGAAAGGATAAGAGTTAATGACTTATCTAATGAAAAAAATTTTGCAGTGCTGAGAATTGATGCCAGATCTTCATGGATGCTTTTTCTTTAACATATGTAACTCCAATCCAAGGCAAAAACAAATTTCAGAGGTTTTGAGCACTTGCTGGTTTTAACTAGGACCCAGATTCAGAAACCAGCATCCACCCACATGGTGCCTCACAATGATCTGAAGCTCCAGTTTCAAGTTCTGATGACCTCTTTTGCCTTCAAGGGCAGTGCATGCATGGTACACATTCATACACATAAGCAAAACACACATGTAAAATAAAAATAAGTTTTTAAAAATTATTTTGTAAAGAACTACAGAAATTCTGAAATCAAAGCAGTACAGGAGTTTAAAATTTATTTAAAGCTCTCAATAGAAAATTTTGATCAAGCAGAAATACTAATCAGCAAACTTGAATATGGTTTAGTTTTAATCACCTAATCTAAAGTACAAGAAAAAAATGGATAAAATAAACAGTATTAGATACTGTGGGATTTCATAAGCATAGTACTTGTGGGATTCCGCAAAAATAGTACAAGCTCTCATCTCATGAAAGCTCCACAATGGAAAGGAAATGATAAAGAATGTTTGAAGAAATGTTGAAAAACTTAACAAATTTGTTTTAAAAATTATCAATCTATGTATCCAAGAAGCTTCAAAAAATGCCAAATGGGTAAAATGAACCAAAAAGATCCATACTTTGGCACATAATAAACTTACACAGGCAAAGAAAAGGAAAAAATGTAGCAAACAAAAAAAAATTTTATGGGAGAGTAGCTCTAAATAAAATTAAAATTGATTTCTTATCAGAAATCATAAATGTCAAAAAGCAATCAATGAAACATTGAAAGTATTCCAAGAAAAATATTTGTCAACAAAGAATTCTTTATCTCATAAATCTATTCCTTAAAATGAAGAAAAAGTAATGTGTTCCTATACAAATAAAAATTCAAAGAATTTGTTACTAGCAAACTTATACTATAAGAAATTCAAGGGCAAGGGAAATGACTCATCAGGTCAAACAAAGCATTTGTCTCCAAGCCTGATGACATGAGTTCAGTCTCCAGGACCCATATCATGGGAGGAAAGAACCTAGTCCCATAAGTTGTTCTCTGACCTCCACATGTGTACCATGGTGCATAGAGTAAAAGTAATTTTTAAAATTACAAAAAAAGAAATTCAGAAATAAATTTAACGATTCTGAATAATTTGTCAAATGCTTATGAAGAAATAAATTTCACCAGTAAAAGTAAGTAGGTAAATAGGTAAATGTAAATCCACAAGTTGATTTTTGCCTAATACTCCTTTTTATTTCCCACCCAATCTTAAAAACAAATGCATTTACATCCTTCTGTTAAGATTGAAATGTATTATATGAAATGCACAAAAATTGAATTAAAATATACATTAACAGTCATAAATTCAAATTTAGCATGGATAATTTTTGTTTCACCTTTAAATTTAATAGGTAGCTTTGCTAGATATAATAATCTGGGTTGACAGTTGTCATCTTTCAGGACTTGGAACATATCTCTGTAGGCCCTTTTTGTTTTAAAGATTTCTGTCAAATAATCGAGTACTATTTTAATTGGTCTGCCTTTAAAAGTGAGTTGACCTTTTGTGACCTTGTGGAGAATTTCTGGCCCTATCTATTTGGATTTCTGTACCCCTCTTTTACCTGGATAGGCAGCTTTTTCTCTAGGTTTGGGAAATTTTCTTTTATGATTTCACTGAATAAAATTTCTATGCATCCCATTCACAATAACTTCAAAAATTGCCAAATATTATTAATAACTCTAACCAAGGAAGTGAAAGACTTGTATAATAAAAACCTCAAAACATTGAAGAAAGAAATTGAAGAAGAATCCAGAAGATGGAAAGATCTCCCATGGCTCATAGATCAGAAAGATCAATATTTTGAAAATGGTCATCTTACCAAAACAAATCTACATATTCAACAAACTCCCCATTAAGATTCTGACACAGTTCTTTACAGAATTTGAGAAAATAATCTCAAATTTCATATGAAAACCCAAAAAACCTGGATAGCCAGAAGAGTTCTGTACAATAAAAGAACTGTAAGCATCACAATTTCTGCTTTTAAATTACACTGCAGTGCTCTAGTAATGAAAACAGCATGATGCTGGCATAAAAGACACATTGACGAATGTAATGGAATTGTAGATCCATTATTTAAATCCACAGATTTGCAGCCTTCTGATTTTTGACAAAGGGGCCAAATTTATACATTTGAAAATGACAGCATCAACAACTTCAACATATGATAAGACACCCTGAATCTTATAGAGGAGGAAGTAGGGAATACACTGGAATTTATAGGTACAGGAAAGGGGTTTTTGAACATGACCTGAATAGTTCAGGCATTAAGACCGACAAGTGACAAATGGGGACTCATGAAACAAAGTTTCTGTTCAGCAAAGGACATTATAATTAGAGTGAAAATGCAGTCTACAGAATGGAAAAATATTTTCCAGCTATCTACTTGACAAAGGGTTGGTATCTGGACTAAGATTATACAAAGAAATCGCCAAAATAACAACAAACCTGAAATGACTCAATAAAAATTGAAACAAAGAATGAAGTAGAAAAGAGTTTTCAAAAGGTGAAATGCAAATGGCTGAGAAATATTTTTTAAAGGTTGAGTATCTCTAGCCTTCATGGAAATGCAAATTAAAACTACTTTTAGAACTCACTGTACCCCAGTCAAAATGGATAAGACCCAAATAAAAATGTTGAACAGACATACCTTGAGATCTATACTAATTGGGTCAGAGGGACACAAAGGACACTTTTTGCTCCTTGCCCTCCTAGGTCGATTAGTTCCAGGGGACTATGAGCATCTCTCAAAATGTCCTGTAATTGTGGTGGGTCACCTGTCCTCTTGATCAAGGAGGCCAAGGAG